CTTATTTATATTTTTACTAACTATAGAGCAACCAATCCTAGATTTCAATTAATCAATCCATCAAGAATCTGTTGTAACAAAAAATTCAGAGCAAGTTTAGGCAAAATTCCTCAAAAAAAATCAAGAAAATTGCTACATGCTGAGAAAAAAACCATTTTTGTCTATAATATTAATATCAACTTGCTGGCTGATATGGATTTATTGACTTAAACTTCTTTCTGGACTCTGGAACCTCCATAGAGAAGAGAAGGACGGTACTTTTTCATTTGGTTTTTTCTTCCTAGAAAAGTTTTCTTGCCATTAACTTCTTAGGTAAGGAGTTTATGAAGAGAAAAGATAAACAAGAAGTGTAAAGTATAACTACTACTAAATGAAACAGATGTTTTTAAAAAAAGTTTTGAAGTTTTATTACTCTTAAAACATAAAGTTTTAGAAAAACAGTTTTTTGAAAGTGATAATCAGGAATCTATAGAAAAGAGTGATAAATGATTAGTCATATTTATATGTTCTGATGACATTAATGATAAAAGAAAAAAAAATCAAAGATACAAACTCTTCCACTTCTTCAAATGAAGTGTAACCAAAGCAAAGAAATTATGAGACTATTAGGATAAGTACTAAATTCTTTAGATAATAAAAAAGTGATTATTTGTTTAAGTCAAGGCCTTCAGCTTCTTATTATTCCAGTTAGGCAAAATATATAAAAAAAGGTTATTTCCTTATTCCAATCAGATTGTAAGATTGAAAAGCAAAAGAATATAAAACATTGTTTTTCTCTAGAATTAAGAATACATTTTCTCAAATATTGTATAATAATATTACAATCAAGATGAATACTAGTAAAAATTCCTTTAACTAGACATATTTGCTGAAAAATATCAGAAATTATATAACAAAATTGAAAAGTTATATATGAACCTGGGATCCATTATTAATTATTTTCTTCAGCATAAGTGATATAAAATCTAGATAAAAGAAAAAAAGCATTAATTAGGATACCATATTTGAATAAGTGATAAGAATTTCAGATAGTTACAAAAAAATAATCAAGATTATAAATGAATAAGTTTTTTAAATAGTCAAGAAGAAGAAGAATATCCTAGAATGGTTAGTTTCTAAGAGAGAAGATTTTTTGTAAAGATCCTTTGAAGGACATAGAACACTTGTATTTCTATTTTTTCTTTTTCATTTTAATATAGCACAATTGTGCATTTTTGGATATTTCCCTTTTCTTTTTTTTTTTTTTTTTTTTTTGTAGTTTTTTGAAATCAGTTTCTAGAAGAATAATAAGTAATAACAACCTGTTAGCAATGATGGATAAATTAAGAGAGTATCTACCCAAAATCTATTATAAAAGAAATATTGTTCCCAAGGTTACACTTAAAGGCTAAAATTCTTTTAAGAATTGAAAGCCATTAATAAGTGAGTCAATATAAGATTTAGTTTAACCATAATGCAATTACTCTATATCATATCTCTATTAGTTTTCATAATTATTAATAAACATACTGTGCTAGCCTGATCATGGGTAGTTAAAAAAAAAATAAAGTAATATACAGTATATAAATATCTCTATATATAATATTATATATAGATCAAAATTATTTTATTAGGCTCTTTCTACTAATTTTCTGACTATATACAAAAAAGATGTTCATAAGAAGTTTTATACTTTCTTGCTAACAAAGTCTTTATACTTTCATTAAAACAACTTGAAGCTTGTTTTTACATATCTTTACTATACTCTCTTACTTGTTTATAAACTCTTTTGAATAAAAACTTGGGTCTCTAGTGGCTTGAATAGACTCAAGTATATACTTCTTCTATTAAGAACAAGAAGATTCTAGGAAGTAAAAAGACTGACAAGTGGAATGCCACCTTATAGAGCTAGAAATAACAAGAAATAGAGGTTTTGTTAATAAGAAGAAGACTTATTACCTATCTTCTTATATACTGTCTTGTATTCTCTTAGAGTGTTTAGTATTTTTTATGATTTTCTTAAAAGATTTTGCTTATTTCAGTTTGATCCTGAATTTTTGATAGCACAATGTTACCTAGCATCTGATTGATTAATACAAAACACATTAGTCACTGAATATAAACAAGTTTTTATTGGTTACCTCATATATTCTGATGATATCATTGATGATTGAAAAAGTTAATTGGTGTCCCGTGTCTGCTTCACTTTTCCAATTGAATTAATCTATAGATTAAGTTCTATGAGATCAATAAGATATGAATAACAAGTTCCAGATGATAAAAAGCTGTTATTTATTCAAGTTGAGATTTTTTTTTTTTTATCATTTCAATTAGACAAAGTTCAAGATCAAGGTCTTATTTTTATTTCAGTTAGGCAATAAGATTGAACAGTTTCTAGTCCATACTAAGTTCTAATTCTTTGGTTATAGTTGAAAATACATTTTTTCAGAAGTTGTTAAAGAATATTATAATCAACGAGGATCTTCATTACTCTTGAGACCCTCCCACTATTACAAGACAAAAGGATTATTGGAGAATCTGACCTTTTGAGTAATGGAAGATGCATACTAGTAAAATTCCTTTAACTAAATGTGACTGCTGAAAGGTATTATATTGAAACAATATAGTTTAGTTCTTACTGAGTTATATAAGAACCTGAAGTCTATCATAAGTTACTTCTCTATTACAGATGAATAAAAAATACTGTTCAAAAAAGGTTGCAACCAAGTGTATCCTATAAGTAAAGACTTCCATTAGGCAATAAGTCATCTCAAATAGTACACAAAAAGAAAATTAAGATAAAAAATAGATAGGTTTCTCAGACAATCAGAAGAAGAAAGGATATCTTAATAGGATATTTCTTATTAAAAAAAAGTCTTAAAAAGCAGGTTTTTGAAGAAAGCTAGAAATTTTTTTTCAATTTTTTATTTTTTATTTTCTTGTTGTTTATTTGAATATTTTTAAATATTTTTCTTCCCTTTTTTTTCAATCCATCCTTTTATAGTTTTCTGTATTCCAATGGTTTGTTATAATATATGGTAGTGACAATCTGTTGACAATGATATAGTGAATTGGAAGAGTTTTTATCCAAAGACATTGTGAAACAAATATTGTCTTCAAAGTTAAACTTAGAGACTTTATATTTACAATAAGTTAATTAAATTAAAATGATAGTTTAGTTATAGTATATATCATGTTGCTTAAATAAAATAGTACTTATGTTTTCAATTGATTAATAAGCTTATAATCTAGCCTGACTACAGGATACTCAAAAAAAAAAAAAGTTTAATCAATTGATTTGTGAATCAATAATATAGTAACAATACTTCTAGATTATTAAATACTATTTCTAAGTTCAATATTATTACAAAGCAATATTACTTAAGCTAGATAATACAAAAAAATTTCATTTATTTTATAATAATAATATAATTATTTATGGTCAAAATTTTATTTAATTACAAAAAATCTAAAAAACATAAAATATTTCAATTAATTTTAATACTAAAATTATTTTATTACAAAACAAGTTCTATAAATCTTAACAAATAAATTGAATATTTGTTTGCTATAAAAATTTTAAGAATTTAATGGTACCTAGGTATATTAAACTAGACAAGAAGTTATTATCAATGTAAAATCTATTAAAAATTTTATATGGTTACTTTATAAGCAAACTATAATAAGTAAATTATATAAAAAAAATGATCTAATAGGATGAAACAATGTCTAAAACTTTATATAAATATTTTATAAATATATTATAATAGATAGCATAAAAAGAATATTTGATAGAATAAAATATTGAAAGAAGTCTTAAATTGGAAAACTGAATATAATATAAATTTTTAGTAAAACAATTCAAATATAATATAAAAAGTAGTGGAATTCTTTTTAACAATATGTTATATAAAGCTAGTATTATATTAACAAAATAAAATTATTTATAAGCATTGATATATCTAAGTTGAGTTATAAAATTATAAGAATATAAATAGAAATATAAAGATTAAAAAAAATTTATGTAATGTAATTTGATATGAGCCTGATATTATCATTAAGTTCAATAAACTGGATTTCTATAAATTTTTGTTAAAAAAAAAAATCAAATCAACTATTGAAAAAATACTAAACAATTAGCTAAATTTTATATATATCGATTCTATACAACTTAATAACTTATATATTACAAATTCGGATAAATTAATTAATTAAAACAGTAAATATAAAAATTGAAAGAAATTATAAACAATACTTAAATATTATTACTGTTTTTATTAATACATTGATCCTAATAATTATTATTTTTTAAGGACAAAACTAAGCAATTCATTAATAAATTAATAAATGAATTAAGAAAATAAATTAAAATTTTTATCTTTTTAATATGGTTAAAGCATGTTCATACTATTAAATCAGCTACACCAAAAACTCCATTAAAAGTATCGATTCTTTGAAACACAATTACTTGAATTAGGATGCTAATGAGTTCAAGGATATAAATATAACATTGATTTGGTTTCAATTATTATTCAATCAAAATGAATTAGAATAGTTGTAAATAAATATTATGAGTGAATTTCTTTCTTTAAATATGATTTTTACTTTATATTTAATTAATACTAGTTTGAAGCTTCCTAGCCTGTAAATTATCACTATGGATTGTTATTTAATAGTTCCAATTAATTTAAATATGTAGGATTTAAACATTTCGAAAATATAAAGTTAATCGAGAAACATCATAAACTGTTTAAAATGCAGTACTTTTAATTAATTTGAAAATTAGATGCCAGCAACGGAGAATGCAATACCATAATTTACCTGTAAAGGAACAACATCATGTTTAATGACCCAATAAATAGTCATGATAAAAATATTTTCTATTGAGAATGACATCTATATACATGAGGTTTGAATGAGTAAATAATTTATAATGTACAATTTACTGCTAGAAGCCGTCAACTAGATTTCTATCGATATGATCCAAAAATCACATCTAACGTTAACCTCGCGTATTTTCTCTAAAAATATTTAAGATTTCTACCGGCCTCGATAAAATTTTCATTTACACTATAAACATATATTTTACCGGTTGATACCCCTACAGTCATCACCTTAAAATCTTGATGCAACAAAATACAATTAAATGTGAGAAATAAATTCAAAGAAAGTTTGCAAATTCGGATATAGTAATAACAAGAGACTTCTTCATACCTGGAGATAATCTAACAGAAGTAACCGGACTATCATGTTTGGCGAATTGATAAATCATCCTATTTTCTTTCTTGTCGCCGATATTCCAAACTTTTACGCAATTATCGTTACCACCACTGATTAAAATATTACTATTGGGCACCCATTGTAACGACATTACACCATCATGCGGAAGGCCGTCGTTTGGATCTTTAGATGCACAATATGTTAAAAGAATTAAGGGAGAATTGAATTAATAGATGTGGAAAAAAGAAGAAACGTATAGAATTCTCACCGTCGTGTCGAAGAACGCGAAGTATCGAATTTAATTGCCTCGTGTCAAACACATAAACCGAATTCGAAGTTCCTCCTAGAGCAATGTAGAAGTCATTCGGAGAAATTGAAATTATGTTTGCATCTTTTTCTTCGCACTTTGTCTCAGTCCTACATTGACTACGAATATCCCAAATCCACATTGATCCATCTCCCAATTCACTCCCGATTCCAGTGGTTCCACATGCTACCCAATTTCCTGTTTTGTAAATGTATGATAAAATTTAGTCGGCGATTCTGCCCTCATTGATAAATTATTGTGAAAACTTGCCGCTTTTCGAGACATCGATACAACTCACGCTGCAGGTAAAGGGACACTTGTGACTGCAATCTTTTCTCCTGCTATTAATATCCCATATTTTTACCACACCTTTTGGATCATCGATGAATCCATTATAGCCTGCTATCAGGGTGTTGTTGTTTTCATTAAATATTATGTCGCTTGCGCATCTCTTACGATTTTCATCCTTGAAATCTTGAGAGGACATGTGAAATTTATTGTAATCCTTCCTAATAGAATGCAGCTGAATCATGCTAATTAAACGAGTTCGTTAATTGATAAAGTGTCTAATGATCTCGGAAAACAATCTGAACAATCATGCGTACCCAGATTCTTCACAAGATGCAAGCTGATAAAGTGTTCCATCCTTTGGGACATTACGAACCGCAAGTCTGTTAATACTTGATTGGCAGACTAATAAATGCCCACGATAAGTGAGGTGAAGATTAGAATTTCATGGTTAAACCAAGAGCGATGGACAAAGTACCTTTTACACTATATGGTTTCTGAAACTTCATTGAATCTTCCATGTGCCAGGTCTTAAATAATAGATCTTGTAAACGGTCTGGCTGATTTACTTATAACTTGACCAATAAACATGTCGAGCCCACAATACCTTTATGGTTGCATCAGTAGATGAAGAGAAGATAAATTTTCCGTCGGGAGAAAATTTTACATCAGTGACGGTGGTCCAAAGCTCTTTCAGGAAAGTCAGAATCGAAAGAAGATGAATTAAAAGTGCCAAAAGTATCCATAGCAAGCATTTTAAAAATAATGCGGAATAGAAAATGCAACGATTACCTTCTTTCGTAAGAGCATCCGGCGCATGGTGACCATATAAATTATATGCGGCTCCTGAATAACAAGTATATCATGGTTTAAAAACAGATCGATTTTTTTCATAAGGAGACTTGAAACCTACTACCTGGAGCAATGTCCAGAAATTGTAGATTTCCTGGCATATTATAACTTGGGTTCACATTTGCAATATAGGCCATTGCCAATCTTGGTCTGTTTAAGTGTTTCCAAGTGTTAATGATAAAGCAATAAAATTTGTAAAGAGCTTGTGCTTACTTATCAGGGTTACTATAATCCAAGGCAGTTTCGTTAACATCACCACTTCCACTTTTATAATTATAGGATTTATAATTCTCAAAACTTTGTAACAGTTGTTTTTCAACTGAAGACTAGATGAAGAATAATTAAAAATAAAATAAAATAAAATAAAGATCAGATCTACACGAGATGTCATTGAAAAGAAGGCGATTACCTCTCTACCTCCGATCGATCTAGATGACGATTGACTATCTTCCAAAGAAAATCTGGTACTCACAGCTGCTCTATTATCTTCGCTTTCCGTGGGTTCACCATTCATAATTATATCATTTTTCGCCAAATAAGCCATCAACGATGCGATTTCCTCGACGCTTTGAGGATATTCCTATTAAACCAGGTAGTAAATAAAAGCTTGATGAAATTATGTCGTCAAGAGGCTGAATAATAATGTTACCTTTTTTGAAACCGAGTTTTTAGCCTGCTCAATCATATTATCCCGTATTTTTAGTAGTGCCATTTTTTCTATCTCTGCAAAAAAAAACAAAGGTAAACGTGAATCACCTTGTGGATAAGGGTCGAAATGACGAATCTCTAGTCTGGAAGGTAATGCCTACCATTTTCCTTGATTAACTGTTCGTAGACCTTGTTATATGCATGAATATAATAAATAAATAAATGAATATATATATATATATATATACAGTATATACATAATAAGATATTAATGATCCAAGGTCAAGTGCATACCTGTTGGACTTCAGCTTCGTAGGGACTGATTTGAACGAATTGAGAATCAGAAAACATTTCTTTTCGAATGTCCGTCGTTAAGTAATTTTGAGTGGAAGGATTGGAATCTCCTCCTTGCATCTCTGCATCAGAAACCTTTTCTGCATCCGTAGAGTTTGTCATCCTATACTCGCTGACGATGTCAGCAAATTTCATATTTGCATCCATTTCATTATCATCATCACCCTCGTCTTCTGCTAAGACGATTTGCTTTGATTTCATCTTGTTGGGTGGTTTGTCATTAGCAGAAGTTTTGATTCGCTTCAATGAAATTATATCCTCGTGAATATTATTATTACGCTTGGTGGGTACAACCCCTGAAGGTCTATTGATGCTAATTGAATGTTGATTATTTGATGACGAATGCGACCCCGAACTATTTCCACTATCTTGAACACTCTGATCTGAATTAATAGAGATTAGATGTCGTATCACAATTATCAGTCTTTAATAATCTAGAAAAGAATAAGAGTTCGCTACCCATAGCAGTATAGAACTTTAGGCGCTGACCTTTAACTAATCGCTCACTCTTAATATACTCTTGAATTTCGACCTTCCGATAGATCGTTTTGTTATCATTCTTTTTTCGGACTTCATTCTTCGAATAATTTGTCGCAAAAATGTTTTGCTCCGAAATCACCGAAGCCTGATCATTTGTTATGATACTAGTGGACGAAGAGCCTCGATTATCAAATACACCAACTGACGCAGATGCTTTTTCTAATTGCAAGATATTTAATGTCGATAGCCTCGAGTTCAATAATTCAATAGGAAAATCAAAACTAATTCGAAGTTTTCTCATATGTGCTAGATTTTTCTTTAATTTTCCGATGTGCTTTTCCCATTTCGCTTCCAGGTCCTCAACTTTAGTGGGACCATCCTTTTTCGCCGTGTAATCATTGTGTATATTTATCAATTTTCCAATTCTTTTCTTTGTCTTGCTTATCCTATAAATGACAAGTCATAAAGGGTAAGCAAATGGAATTCCACTAAAAAAAGTTTAATTTGAACTAATGATTCTTTACTCTGGAATACTGACGACGCTCTTATGTCCGAAAAACCCGAAGAGTAGTACCTATTTCTGACATTATCCATGTTTAAATATGAGTTGTTGAAATTCAAATTTCATTCCATCGAGGTGAGGAAATGAGCTAGAATTTGTTCGTGGCACAGATCGATTCCGTGGCACAACATCATGTGAGACGACGACGACCAAGTTACTTTCATAAAAATCGTTCCAAGTGTTGATGCATATACTGCGTACGGGAATAGTGATTTACATCATAATTCTTCATAATTTGGATGAGTGAGTTGTACTGGTAACTCGAAGGTAAAACTTTTTATTGCATGTTTTTCATGAACAAATCAACCGATAAGGATCCGAAATAATTTTAATAATTTTATAAAAACCACCAAATGTTCCGGTACATTCACTAATAGTGATCAATGCATCCAGAGCTAATGCGAATTATCAAAATTTTTTTAATTTACTTTAATTCCTGTCATTACTTCCGAATTCTTTAGATCATAAAATAATGGTGTAGGGTCCTTTGAATTCCATGTGTTAATCTCTCGTGTTACCTATGCTTTCGAAATTCATCCTCCAACCCAATGCTCAACCTGATTTCGACCGCTGCCGATACCAACCCATCGAACAAATATTTTAATATCGCTTTTCGTCCACTCAATTCAAAATTATCCATGGGCACCTTACATCGCTTCACTATGGAAATCCTATTTAGCCATCGTTGCAAGGCTTCTAAACTGTTGGCCGTGGCGGCGTGAATGGGTATAGCTTTTTTGTGAGAGGAGATGGCTCGGATGTAAATGTTCCGCAACCAACCGTACCACAACGACGTCAATATACTTATAGACACCCCTGCAATTGTCTGAGTTTAGTTTAGTGTTGAAGAGGTGAATCCGAGGTAAGTGATCTGGCGAAAGGTGGGATTAATTATACACGAAACGAATCGCAAGTTGAATAGTTACCACCATGCTTCCAAATGGAAATTCACCCGTTTGCAAGTAGTAATATACCAACGGGAATAAAATTGCCAAAAGACTATTAAAAAACAAACAAACAAAAAAAAAAAAAGAAGTTAAATCGTGTGAGTAAAAAAGGTTGATTATAATAATTTCACTTACATCGAAAATATGTGTAAGAAGTTTGCCGTGCTTTTTTTCTTCCTCCACTTATCCACGTCCACCAATAGATTCCTATACGCCCCCTCGACGTTTTTATCTATCTCACGTACCATCATCGTCAATTCCTGCTGTCGATCTTGGTTTGCCGGAGAAAGTTTAAAAATTGGGTTAAACTTTGGATATGAGAATTTGTGATAACATCGTTGAATCTAACCTTCAAACTTTTCGAACCCAATATCAATTAGTGCCTTTTCGAGATCAGTCAGGTTCTCGACATACTTATCCTTCATGTGTCCGATAGTTCTTGAAAACAAAACGGCTGGATCAAACCCTTCGTATAAATCATTAAGATGTACCAAATCTCGAATTAGGTTTAGCAATCGAACCACCAACACAAAGAATGAGTCATATATGTGCTGATGTTGAAAATACGAAGATGGAGTGAGAATCCATCACAATACCTTGAAGACGATGATAAACGCACATACCATAACGTTCAATTGGAATCAGAAGATTGAATACTCACATCGTCAAAATATTTTTCTAACCTTCGATCCTCAACCAAGGCATTTAAGACATCGATGAAAATCTTTCCCATGTTTTCATCAAACGGATATCGTTTCCTAGTTAACACCACCGTCATCACTATTCTCTCGTCATCGCTTCCGGGCCCTCGGTCAACATTTATAATGGGTCCGGGAAACAATTTCTCCAACGCTCCCGATTCAAGATCTTCCATCAAATCATCGAGTACCACATCCAGAAGTACGGGATCAATGGCATCACTTAGCGCTCGAAGAATGGAGTTTTGACATGAATCGAGTTCCGGAGATACATTTTCATGAGGTGAATGAGATTTCGCGTTGCTGCTATTACATAGTTGTGAATTTTTCAGGACGTAATCATAACTCTTTTCGTCCAGTGGCACCCAATCAGCGAAGCCATTTAGGGTCAGAGATGCAATCGCAGCGGATGATGACAGAGATCTCAATAAATGACTATGTGATTTGCTTCTAAACCTTATTTTAATCTTTTACATCGAGATCATGAAATTAAAGAAGATCGCAGATTAAATTATTCGTGAAGATAGATGCCCCTGGTATTGCGTCATACATGATATAGTTTTTATGGTGTCTACCTTCAGTCTGTCGGGATTCGACGCTTCGACTGTTGAATCGGCTTTAATTTCTATCCTATGATCGGGATGTCGTATGCGAGTTCTCTCGAGGTCATTTAAAATTACCACTGTGCTACTCAATCCTGATAAGCTAGTGATGGCGCCAGTAAGATCTTGTCTGGTCCCCTACTTGAGAAAAGCTTGATTTTAATTCTTTTATTGGAAAACACCTGCAGATGATGGATAATGTATGCACCTTTAAATTGTAAATTTGAAATAATGCATTGTCCTTATCCGAATGAAAATTGACTGTGTTTTCTTCCACGAGATGAAATCGTCCACTATAATAGATCACCGGTTTGACTGGTCCCATGGTTGTATGCATATTATTAATATTACTAGTTTCGCTTATACTGCTACCGCTCATTTTAAATATAATTCCTTCGTTTTTTTTCGTCAAGCGCTATCCCTATTATTGGTCCAAGGTGATTGTATTCTTACAATATAGTTCCGTTGCGCTAATGCTTTGTTAAATGAGTTTACTGACTTCTTTCTTTTTTTATAGTTATGAAATGATTTAATAATATCAAAATAAATATTAATTGTTAATTATAATTTATTTTCGACAGGAGATATTACATAAAAAAAGGTGGTTTAAAAAAATATGTGGAAGCCGAAGATTGAAGCCTGCATTATTCTTTTACCACATAAGGTTTAAATGGAAAAATTTTACCATTTTAAGGAAAGGGGGAGCTTTTCAATAAATTAATTAGGATAATTTCATTTACTTAACTCGCACAACTTCGCATTATAAACAAAAAAAAGTTACGCGTATTTTTTATTAATTAATTTTTTTTTTTTAAAAAAAAAAATCTTTTGAAACAACTTTATTGTAAACTTATATAAAATATATAATACGATATACTGTATAAAGTTAATAAGAAAGTTATCAAAGAATCTCTATATTCTTGAAAAAAAAAAATTTTTTTTTTAAAAGTAATAAGACTTGTAACCAGTTAAATATCCTAAAAATTATAATAGAGTTAATAATTTAATTCTAATAATTTTTGCTTCAAATATATATTGCTTATTTAAAGATAAATACTATAAGTTATTAAGAAATTTTTTATTTTAATAATTTTTATCAATATTATAAATAAAAATGATAAATATCATTGATATTTAAGAAGTAATTATATAAGAAAAAATTATATTAACCTATTTAAAAAAAATTTTAACTTATAATCTTTAAATTAAAATTAAATAAAAAAAATTATCTATTTATTTTATTTATTTTTATAAAAATAAAATAAATTTTTATTTATTTATAAAAGCTTATAAAATATATTTGACTTTTAAAAATAAGTAATATTAATATCAAAAAATAATTAAATATTTTTTTTTTTTTTTTGAATGCTAGTTCAGCCTTACTTTATTTGAAATATGGTGGGTATATACATGTATTGTAATATCTACCTATGCTTACCAAATGAAGTTTGATAAAGAAACAATTTTTTGACTATACTTATCTCACGACTTGTTGCCACCTCATTTCGGAGAAAATTAACCTGCCAAGGCTGGGCTAGTGTTGTATGAAAATTCCAAAATGGTGAAGGGTGTAGTTATATTTTGGATAGTTTTGTTCATGTACTTGTTAACTAGATATATGAATTGATCTTTGATATGGTTCTCTCTTTCTTTGAACCATGGCTTGATTTCATATTTGGTGTATTTGCTTTTTTTCTCCATCTTTTTGGTGATGCCTTGTACTTTTCAGAGTTAAAAATCTTCATAATGTTTTTTCCATATCCCTTGAAGGTAGTTTGTGATATTTTTTTTGATTTCTATATAGCAATCATGTCTGTGTTGTTTTTCTGGAATTGCTTCGCAGATAATTTGAGTTGTTTCCTTGAAAAAAGCTTCTTTGATTGCACATTTCAAATATCTCTCATAATAGAGTGATGTTTTTTCCTTAAGTTTATTTATCCATTCTGATGTATTGGTCTTGTTTAAATGTTTTGTGATACTTGTGCTGATGCTATTGATTATGAAGTGTTCTGTCCTTTCCCTGTGTGTAGTGCAGATAAACGGGTGTATATTTGTCTCTATTTCTTCACACTTTATACACAAGTTGTCTTTGTAAATTGAAGGTGCTCTGTGATGTAGCTTAGTTTCACTAGTCAAAATTATGTCATTCGGCTGCCGAATTATTGCCGAATTTGGTAAAATTTAATAATAAAAATATTGATGAATTATTTACGATTGCTGCCACTCGGCATTA